ACGAACCAGGAACCTATCGCTCAACAAATATGTAGAAGGAAGTGCAGATGGATTGGATTGGAGATGCACTAAGAAGACCATTCGGGGACATCACGCTCTGGGCCAGGCTCTCGAGTGGAATCCGAAGTGGAAACGACGAGTTGGGCGTCCGAGGTGAGGGTGACATGGAGGAGATGATGTGAGGAAAAAATGAAAGCTTGTGGACAGTTGTGGCGCCAGGTCCAAAAGATTGCAGAGAAGAGAGTGCAATGGAGACATGCTACTGAAGCCGTATGTTCTACTAGGAACCCAATGGAAAGATAATAATAATAACAGCAAAAGGAAATTAATGTTTAGACCACTACCCTAATATACTGCAATAGCAGAGATTTTGAAATCTTTTCAATGCAGCTATTACTTTTTGAATGAACCCCCTACCTACCCAGAAAATTAGTTACTTACTCGAAAGCTATAAATTCTCTTTACAAAAATGAGTAAATTTTGGGTATAAAAAGATAAGAAGTATTTGATATAATTTATCTAAGACAGTTCCAGTCGTTGAATTCGTTTTTATTCATCTTAAATATTTAATTTCTGTGAATTTAAATGTGAAACTTACTGTCATTTGACTCAAAGTTAACTGAAGACGTTAATCCGGGGCGATTATTTACATCCCTAAAATATCTTTTAAACATGCTGCAAATGAAATAAGGACAGTCAAAAGACTAGATAGTCAGGCTGTCAGGGAATGTTCAACCTTGCTACCTTGACTTGGTCATCGGGTTTGCATATCACAATGGCACAGCAAGCTGTGTTGTTAGAGACGCTTACTCCCTAGATATCCTAACATGCTAGAAAGGTTTGTTGGATAGTAGTAAGACGGAAAGCAGCTACCGTTGTAGTATAAACTACTATACTATGATGGGGGTCTGAGAACGAAGTCTCATTACTGCTAGCTGTATGAGGTATGACAGCCGTAAGATGTTTCGCATGAATGACCAGCAGTGCCACTTTGATGCTGCCTTCCTAATGAGAAGGAAGGGCCTGAAAAGGTTGGCCTCAAAAGCGACACACGCCACTCTGCCTTACAGACTTCCGGTGCCGACGGTATAGGTTCTGTCTATCCGGTATTAGAAAAACCAGACCTCAAAACGACATCCCACAAAAGGCCATGTATGACAGGCTTCATGCAGGTGTCTCGAGGGCCTTGTGATTACATAAACCTCCTATTTTAGGTACCTTACGAAGGAATAGACTTGTAAGGTGTAGATAGAAGGGAAGTGTCAACAGCCGCACGCTTCTAGTAGTGTTAAAGACCCGATCAAACATAACTTATCCTCCTCAACTCTGTCTCCTACTTCCCCTTCACCTTCTGATAATAATTTTAGGCCTCTTACTCCTTGTCCAGCCTTTCATTCTGCAACCATTATCAACAATCAAAGCCGTCAAAACTTCATTCTTAGTCTCCTGAGACCCCGTGTGCCACTGAATTAGTGTAGGAGCTTTCAACGTTCAAACTCTATACCTGATCGTCCAGCAACCATCGCTTGCCAAAACGCTTGAATTTGTAGCCATGAACGTATGCTGCATCTCTGAGACACGTATACAGGAGCCGAGTATGGTTATTAAATTGACCTCACATGGCCATAGTAGTGAGCCTTCAAAATTCGCCTAGAGAGTATCAGGAAACCAAGTGATTGGCTGTTGTGGACTCATTGGCATAGACATATCATTGAATGGTAGAGCGGAAAGTGAGCTTCTCGATTGGATACCAGTCAACAGCCATCTATGTGCTATTCGACTGAACGGATGTGTCAGAACTTGTAAGGATCGCTAAATCAACCGATACCCATTCATAATTTTTGCCTACGCACCCACCGACTGCAGTTTTGATGATGAAAAGGATGAATTCTAGGAGAAGCCGTGAACTTTACTACAGAAAAAACGTCCAGGTGTAGTCAGAAAGGAAGCTGAGCCAATCGGAAAGGCATCGTGGGGGCATTTAGGGATTTCTGTTCCAAAGAAACCGACAATGATGACCATCTGTTGCAACAGTCACCTGTTTCCGACCATCACTAACTTTGGACACAAAGAGGGACTATCTCGCATGGAGTTCACTGACATCAAACCAATGATGGACACAGATAGATCAAACTGGAAAGGATGGGTGGGGGGTCGCCTCTCTTTTTGGGTTACCGTTTCGGACTCTGATCATGCGCTAGTATCAGCTTGTTTATGTCTGCACCTTACTGGTCACAAGAAGACAGGAGACAGTGGGGACCAGCTGTTCTCGATTGGCTCTTGAGGATGGCGAGTATGCATTTAGAGGGGAGTAAGCTAAGGATTTATCTAAATGTGACAGCAATGCTCACTCTAAGGAAACCTGGCGTGATATCAAGTCGGCTGATGAAATAGTAAAAAAGACAACTAGTAACCTACACATGAAGGTTAGCAAACATCATTAGATTTTTGTGACACTATCCGAAGCAATTGGTGTGAAAAGATTGATTCCAGCTGGCTGTGACAACAACAAATAGTGAAAGCAACTTAAACGTAAGTTGAACAGGAGTCTTCAAGTCAATCACAGGCAGTTATGGGTAGCGAAAGCAACAGAGATAGAGAAGGCATCAGCGCTGGGTAACACTCTGAAACTATTTAGGCTTATTAGTGATACCGACAAGAAAAAGACGATAGTGAGTTAAACCATCACTGAAAGGATGAGACGCTAAAAACCTCCCAGGAAAGGCGGTTATAACGCTGAGCAGAATACTTTGAAGTTAAGAATGCTTTAGCTAACTTGAAACGATGCAAAGCAGCAGAATCTAACAGTTTGCCATTTGAAGTTTTCAAGAGTAGAGGTAGGGAATAGCTGCTTTAAGCGACGGAGATATTAAGTAGTGTATAGGAATTAGAGGTAGTGCCGTCAGACTTTTCTACTTCGCTGGTCATCCGAGTATGTAGAAAGGGGGAGAAGAGTTCCTCTGTCAAGCATAGAGGAATTAATTTGACTATTTTATCCAAAAGTCTAGGTCCCACAGTTATCTGGCGCCTAACTGGAGCTCCAGAATACCAAACTCGAGAAAACTAGGCAGGTTTCAGGCTTGGACGTGTGTGCATTGATTATATTTTCACTAGACAGGTTCTGGAACACAGAGATACTTACCGGCCGCTGACACCTTCCATATTTTTTGACCTGAAGGCGGCATGTGACTCAGTAGACTTTGAGGTGTTGTTGCAGTGTCTGACTGGGAGTATACAACGCAGATCAAAGCTCTGTATTCGAACTCACATATCCGTGTCAAGGCTTAAGAAGAGTTGTCAAGTGAACTGATGACAACCATTGGTGCTTGTCATGGATGTGCACTGTCACCGTTCCTGTTTAACTACATCACTGACGTACTAATGGACACAACCTTACGTACGTCTGACTTCACAGGGGATGACCTACTTCATGGAGGTCATCTGGTTAACTTGGGGTATGCAGACTATATTGTCTTGCCAGATGAAAACGTTGAACTCATTGAGTAGGAATCTGAGTGTGTTTGGCATTTGTTTCCCTGACACCTTTCAAATGTAGGATGCTGCTGCAGGACTTGTCTGAAACCACTCCGAGTTTAATGATAAGTAGTGATGTGGTGGGATATACTGAGTTACATCAGCTCAAATGGGCTAGTTACTGAAGAAATCTCATAGCGGATAAAGAAGTCCGGTTTGGCATTTTCCAACTTGCTTCACTGGTGGCGCCGAGTGGCAAGATACCCGACTATTTACTGTTGGAGAAGTATGCTAAGCAGTAGCACCTTCTATCCTGTTATACGACTGTGAGACAAGGTCGTTAAAATTGGAAGAGAGTAAGCGGTTATTGGGTTTTGATGATAGGTGTTTTTTTAGCACTTCTCGCGTTTGGTGGAATCACGTGTGAGCAATCTTGAGGTCAAGGCAAGTCGATTGATGATGTTGTGAACGTTAGACGAGTAAGATGGTACCACTCACTCTAAGCCATTGCCTATCTTGATGTGTTGTGCTAGGTGAAGTTCGATTAGGTTGGGAAAGGGTTCAGGGTGCCTAGACCAAAACCTGGCGGTAATCGGTGATCTCTTACCGTTGACTTGAGCCATGTAGGCAGGTGAGGACTACATGATTGGGGACTCCAAGATGAAACGAATCAGTGGTTGAGGACTCTTGATAACATGGCTAAAAATCGGTCTTCATGGCGCAGATGTTTTCACTCCTTGATATCTTCTATAGTTAAATTGCTTATTCTTTCACTCAATTTAGTCTACTTCGATATCATTATTTCTCTATCCTCCTGTTCTTTTTTACTACTATAGAAGAGTTATATTAACTTATTTCTGTAATACATTGACTGGTCACTGGAGAGTAATCAATTTCAGGTTGTTTTGTTCTCATTGCTGATCAAACTCTATCATTCATTTCATAATGTGGCCCACCAAGCTAAGAGGCTTACCTTTGTGGTACACTTTTGATAGATGTAATCAGGACTAGATAAAACAGAATTGGTTGCTCTGCAGCAATCAATCTATATATCTAATCCAGTCTTACAGAAGGTGAATGATGGCTTGAATGGCTGAATAGTTCCATTGATTGAGGCATTAGCTGATAGATGTTCGGATTTCACAAGGAAGTTGCAAATACACCTTACTGATAAGTGACAACAAGAAAAAAAAGTTAGATAAAAGGATTTACCATTGACTAGCTTCAATCAACTAATTTCAGTAACTAATATTAAAAAGCATCTTTTTTTCAAGTTTATTATGTGCCAACAAAATAATCATAAATATTTAAGCTTGTTGTATTACAGTTTTATCTATTAACAAAAGGTTACTATCTTATTGTTTGTTAAATATTCTTTTAATGTAAAGAATATTTTGAAATAACAAAAATCAGGTTTCAACTTGTTTTACTATCCATTAGAAATAACTAGATAAACGATTCATATCAATGAACTTATCTTCTATTTCTAATAATTCATAAAATATAAGATAAAACCATTGAAAATATTTTGATCTATATGAAATACACTTTTTTTTTTAAAGTGTATTCATTTATTTTATAATTCAGTTATCTTTTGTATAGAGACCTATTGTTATATGAAAGATGGAAATGTTAGTGATAGATATGAATTAGATTTTTTAATTTGAATATTTCGTATAGTTTGAATTAGCCACCTTTGTTTTTATGATAGTGAGGTAAAGAAATATGGAATTTCTGTTCAGAGTATATACCAATGAATAGTGTACACAGAAAAATGAAAACAAAACATTAACACACTTATATCATTACTTGAACAAAGATATTCTATTTTCTTAAATTATATCTGAGTAAATAAAATAAAAAAAGAGTCAGCGAAAAAATGAATTCTGATCCATTGAAATCATCGGATAAGAAGGCAATTGTTTATCATACAGATATGAATGAACAGATGCAAGAGAAAATTATAACTATCTGCTTAAAATTTTGGCAATTAAGTCAAAGAAGTTTGGATACTACATCTTATATTAAGCGTACATTGGATAAGAAGTATGGACCAGCATGGCATTGTATTATCGGTGATGAATACAACAGGTTAGTGTTAGATTTTTATTTTTACCTAATGAAAGTTACCATTGATTATGAATAATTTGCATAAGACTTTAACAATTGTGTTACTATGTTTTGGATTTTTCAACCTCTTAATTAAGTAGTAGACAAATTTTACAAATGAGATCAGAAAATGTGTTTCTCTGAAGTGTATCGTATATTGTATGAAAATTTCTTTTAATCAGAATTTGTAAGTGCCTCAGCTTGTATAATGTCATCGCCAAATCATTTAACTTTTGGCATATGAGAAAAAAGATGAAATTACTATTATTACTATGTGTCCTTTGGGGTCCTGGTGGAACATAGGAATTCAGTAACACGTCATCATTTCACTCCCTTTCCTACAGTCTTTTCAATCTGGCTCCACCACTCTACACAAGCTTTCGTTTATTCCTCACATGATCTCCTACATATCAACCTCACCTCCAATGTCAAACTCTTCCTTTCCCATTTGCGTTCCACTCCACAACCTGGCCTGGTGCGTCATCTCCCAAAACCATCTTCTCAGTCTATGTACAATCAAATGCAATACAATACAATCCATCTCCACTCTCTTCTTCTACTCCTGCCGCATTTTAGTTCGCCAACAGCTTCTTGCTTCACTGGTTAGTTGGTTAGTTGCGTGGACAGTCAGAGTTGCTCCTCACTTATTCTTACCATTCTAACCATACATCTGATCTCCATCTTCAGTGTCAGTGGAGTGGAGTGAACGTAGGCAGCACCTGTTGATGTGATGTATGTCTGCAGTTGTTTGTTGCAAATGCTCTATGTGATGCGTCAACTCTGTCAACCATCACATAGAAGCACTGACTTACTTGACTGAAATAGTGTTGAAAATTCGGATGTTATTCAGTCTTTATGCTGAGTGCATTGCAGTGCAATGCAGTGTAGCGTAGTGCAGAGCAGAGCAGAGCAGAACAGAACAAAACAGTAGATCTCTACACTAACTATTTCAGATTAATGAAGGAAGACCTGTCTTGCTGTCTCTCCGATCCTGACTGGCTTCGACATCGTCATCTGTGCGTGTGTCACCACGTGTAGTTGAAATGATGCTGCCTGGGTAGGTAGGTAGGTAGGTGGGTAGGTGGGTAGGTGGGTAGGTGGGTAGGTGGGTGGGTGAAAGAGACAACTTACTTTAGATTTCTCCGGTTCATCATGATTGCTGCCTCTTGTTGTTGTTGTTGCTGCTGCTAATGCTGTTGTTGTTTGTGTATCTTCACCACCTCTGTCTTCTCTATGTTCATCTGAGGAGAGTCTCGTCTTCCTTCGCTGCCCCGCCTCGTCTCTTCAGCCAACTTGTTATTTTTCGTCTGTAGATCTTCGAGTTTGTGTGACATAAGACAATGTACATGAATGATTATTGTTGGTGAAATCCAAATCTTCTTCTTGGCCATTTTCATTGGTGAAATAGCGAATGTATATCTTCTTACTCCTCATAGTTGTCTGTTGCAGATCCAGTCCAGTCGGGTCATAAACATGATCGGTGATAGTAGGTGGCAACCTTGCCTTACTTCACTCTTCACTTCAAAGGCACACTTTGGGTCTGAATAGCTGCACAAAGCTTAACTAGGCTGTATCACCATCTAAGCAATCATAATAAGTGATACAACTGGAAATACTCAATAGTATACCTGTTTCAGACAGAATAACTGTTATGCTATTTATTAGTTGGTTACAAAAAGATGACGCATTTTTTTGACTGCCTTATAAAAATGAAGAGAGATTAAGAAATGTTGAATTGAATTCAACACTTAGAAAAGTGGAGGAGTTATCCACTTTGTTGAATGTTCAGAAAGTTAGTTAAATACACCCATAAAACTGTGCCTACAGCTTGTTATTCTACTTGACTGAACGACCCACTGAAAGTAAACCACAGTGTCGGTTAGGGTAAAGCAGAAGTATTAGATAAAAACAAGTTGATGAGTTCAATTTGAAGGTTTGTGGAGATTTGTCGACATCATGATGATATCGATCATAGACCGACATCATTTAAAGGAATATTGGACACCTGAAAGTACTGGTAAGTTGTTTTCTGTCCTGTTATGGGACTTTTCAACAGTGCGCACCCACCAGCCCGATAGTAACGTACTCTCCATGGGATCCGAATGTTCTGGATTCGATCCATGGTTAGTTTGGGTCATGGGTGCTCACTGCTGTTCCCTCAAATGATGTCAGCTCATGATGAATACCTAATTAAAGGTGATGAGTGAAAGATTTCAATAAACTGAAAGGTGACCTAGATGGAGAGGATTATCCACAGAAGATAATGAAGAAAATGGAGTTGTTATTCAAAGAACTAATTCAGTTCCACCGTACTTAACATTTAATTAGTAAGGATAGAATTGCTTAGAAGTCCGACGAAGCGGCTGATCTGGCTTACTAACCTCTATCAGTAGACGAATTTAGTATTACAATAAAGTCACGTTACAGACATTATGCAGCTCAACATGCTAATGTGTAGTGTTCTTCCTCTTCATATCTCCAACTGATATTTCATCTTATTATCATTCACATCTTCACCAGTCAATTGGCATCTTTTCGTACATCTCGTCACGTTTCTCTATATACTACTGAGATACCTTCATATAGGTAGGATTCACCAAAGTATTAGTTGAGGATTCTCATAGTTATAAATGACAAAATTTTTTAGCTTAATTAGTTGGTTAATAAGCCAAATTTACAACTTTATTTCCTCTTTAGTCATGTTCTAAGAAGCTTCATTCACAAAGTCACGTTAGCTCTTTTATAGCCTGTTTAAATGTCTTACGAACTCATATGATTTCATTGACTTAAACAGAATAATTACATGTTATCTATGAACTGTTATGCTATTGCTAATCTGTTATCATGACGGCCTGTTGAACTTTGGGTGAACGAAGTTTTCCATTGAATATATATATCAAATTTTTCTTTCTTTCAATTTGTTCCAATCGTTTAAATATGTCTTCTGAAAGTATCAAATACTGTTGAATATTCCTAAATATTTTCAACTTGCAGTTTATCGAATTAATAACAAAAAAGAGAATAAATATCATGTTATATGGAAGTTATATGGTTGAAGGTACACCAGATTTCTATCCCTTAGATACTCAGTATGAGTTACAGACTCTTATACTGGCTGAATGAACTGTCACCATCAAACATACTAGGTTGGCTATTTCAATTTGTTGCCTTGAATACTACTGTTTTTATTCAGTAACAATATCGTCTATAACTGTAGTTCTATGAGTGACTTCAATGAAAAATTACATCCTGAGAATTCTACAATGTATTATGCACATTGTTTAAAATAAAGCGATTATTATTATTATTTAGTGTCATACTCTTTGTTTATTTCAGCTGCGTTACACATGATTCACAGTACTTTATCGATTTCAAGTATGAAAAGAAATCATTCATGGTTTACAGAACAGTTCTGTGAACTACAAACACCAGAAAAAAGAAACCAATATAATGTCATTGAAGAATTAATTATACAACACTCCATATTTTAACAAATATTTGTTTGAATTAAATAAATAGATAAGTGAAATATAATGAATATTTTAAAGTGGCTTGTATTGCGTACTTTTTTAATATAACATTATACAGTATGGTCTTTATCCTGTTAATGATACATTTTCCCAGCTGTATAATATTATTCCACATTAGATTTGTTTATCTGACACAGTATTATGTACATGATGATGTTTCAAGCATAAATTATCACTCATAAACATATCGTTATAATCACATTACATTTGACATCTAATTTTTGTAGTCCTGTCACCACCTATACTTCATTTCTAATACTGATAAAATTTTCCTGATCTCCAGTATAGATATTGCCTCATCTCTATTACTAAGAGATGACCCAGTTTATGAACCTCAGTAATACCATAAATTCTGCTAGGATTATAAGTTTTAGGCATTAAATTAAACCATTTAGACTAACCTAAAGATGTCTGTAGTCGGCGTATCAGATCGCCAATAGAATTCTCAGTTTTATTCATGACCATGTATTATGATTTGTTGATCTGTTTGTATGGTTTTGCTTCGATATGTCCGTCAATTTTGTCGAAGAAGTCTAACATATCCATAACTAATGCCGAATTGGCTGCATCAGACACAACAATTACCATGCATTTGTCATCTCTTTAGAAATTCAGAGCTGAATTTTCCATTGTTCATAAGAATCGTTATCTCCTCTTTCGTCTATTCAGTATTGAAGCACAATGCGATGTAACCTGTTAAAGCGGCTCCTGTATCCACTTAGCAGGACTGACTATGTTGAAATCGGAATATATCAACAATTTCCTCACACATAAACTCAGTAGTAAGCACAATACAATTCACTCACAAGATAGAAAACAAACAAGGAGAATTATCTATGTTATATTGCAGGATAAAATGATGGACTGACGGTGGTTTCGATGCTATCGTCTATGGAAAACCAACACATTCCAACAGGTATCTAGACATCAGGTCATCTCATCCAATGTCAGTCAGTGAAAGCAAATTCAATCAAATGTTTCATTAAACAGAACTACAAAAGTGACTAGTCAGTCCAACAACCTCAACAATGAACTGAAGCACATAGAAGAAACGCTGATAGTTAATAGTTATCCTCTACAATTAATTGAGAAATTCCTAAGAACACATAACAAATGAAATAATAACAGCAACGCTGGTTGGAAGCAGTTCATATCCTCTGTTGTGTTACCCTATCAGGATGCAACATCGAAAGCTTTACGTGGGGTCTTCAACAAAGCTGGAATTAGGGTGTTTGTCATTTGAACCTACTAACTCACTGAGAAATAAGCGTTGTCGTATGACTCAATGATCCGATAGAATCGATCGAGCAGAATAATCTGATGTACCAAACTCCATCCAATGACTGCCATGACATGTGCATAGGTCAAAGCAGCCGGTCGGGTTCAGTTGGAATAGTGGAATATAGGAATTTAGTCAAATGAGGAATGACAGATCCCATTAGGATCAATAATCTGGAAGGTGGAACTCAACTTCTGCAATGCTTAGATTACTACACAGTCATACAATAGGGTGGGTGGATCAAACCACTCTACTTCAGTCCAATATGATTAGGTGGAGAGAGAGAGAGAGAGAGAGGTAGATTGCCTACTGAATCTTCATTCATCGAATCTACACACAGCACATGTGATAGGAATGACGCAACACTTGTGTGGGAGATATGCAGAACGTTGTTACTGGTAGGAACAAAGAATATGTGGTGATATGACGATGAAAGTGAGATGTCGAGAGGCGTGTGACTGCAGTGATACCAGTTCGAGTAGTGATTTGTGCTGGAAACATCATGAAGTGAAGTGAATAATAGTGTACCACTGTATGCTGTATATTAAATAATGAATGAATGTAATATGGAGATGCATATTTGTGGTAAGTGCTTCAGCTGAACAGTTGTGAATTTGTGGAACTACTGGAATGTTGAAGATTAATTCAGTAATGTACACTTTTCTGCAGTTAATACATTATCAGTGGACTTGAGCTTGTCTCGGTGGTGAAGTATTGCACTGTGTATATGTCATCAGTTGATTCATACATGTAATTGAACATCAACATTGATGCACAGACTTGAGTTAGACAATCACAAAAATGGAAAATCTTCTCGTCAGTTACAAAATGAGACATTCACTTCGAAACAAAGGAGGTGAATATGAGACTGAAGGCTAAAATTATTTTCAAATTAATGGTCTGTGATATTTGATTGAGAGTATCAGTTATTTCGTTGGCATAATGAAGAAGGATCGGGAGAAGAGAATGTAGCGTCGAAACATTTATTGGAATTGTAGAGAAGCTTTTATTTCCTACAGACACCAATCGACCAGTGACCTGCTGATGAGTCAAGGGATTTCTGCCGATGGACTCCTACTGGTTAGTCCAAAGGTGTAGCACACCAGATTATTGCATTGTTTCACTTAGGAGCGATTTTGTAGAAGTTGTTGTGTAGACTTTGATCACTACTAAGCACTGACCTGTGTATGGCTGCATCGGTTATGCACAGATTACCAACGAGTATGCTGTTTGCAGTTTAGAAGAGAATACTTTTGACGAACCTCAGATTATAGAATGATGTTGTTACAGATATGCTTCATGAAGGCTTGTTAAAGTCGTTTAGTGAGATATTTTATGCCACCAACCTGGATACTTCTTTCTCATGCTGATAGATGATTTGTGAGTGTGTGAAGGAGAAGGTAGTGAGTTGTGTTTCACCGGTGTGTTTACAAGCTTACTGACCTCGATGGATGTGAGTTCACCAGTCCACTACACACTTGGTTGGTGAACGCGCTGATGGACGTTACTGACTTTGGTTTCTGAAATATAAACACAAAAGTTTCCCCATGTGTGATGTTGAATACCTTTTTAGATACTGGAAGTAGAGTGATTACCTTGATAGATTTATGTGCGATAATAACTTATGCTTGAAATTTCAAAATTTCATTACGTGTCATCAATCAGATAAACAAATCTAATATGGAATTAAAGTCTACCACAGTGCCCAAGTTTACACTTATCAAGCATTCCACTAATAATAAGTGTAATCTCAATGAAGCAGAAAATTTACACAATGCTCAACTTATTCAAATTTATTAAATCAGATTTCTATCCTGAAATTTACTAATAACATGATCTGCTTTTTATCGGTGTCTAATATTATTTTATTATTATTGGAATAAACGTTTGGAGACATTTATGGTGATTTCATTCTTGAAATATTCTGAAAAAAATCAATTTCAAAATTGAAATATACTAGAAATCTGTTGATTGCCTACTAGTCAGAGGAAATCGAACGACATGAAAAGAATTTTGAGATACTTATGGGGATTTGGAAATATTACAAATTGTTATTCATTGCAGACTGACATCAGTTGGAGGAACATTGGACACCCTGGAGCACAGGACATATGTTTCGTCCTAGTATGGGACTCCTCAGCAGTGCGCACTCATGACCGCACCGGGGGTGGAACCCGTGACCTTCAGGTTTCGCGGCCAGCACGTTACCATTGAGCCACAATTCCCTCAAAATTCAATTGAACCGGTGCTCATTGTTGACTAACTTCGAGAGGTATTCCCGAAGTTCCAATGAGAAGTCGTGTCGTGACTGGTGGGGGGCAAAGCTTGATGGTCGTGAGGACAGTTACTCAAAGATGATCTTGGGTGGTGGTTGCGCTATATCGTGAGTTAATAGCGGTTGGAAATATGGACGATTGGATTCTGACCCAGTGGCTCAATGGTAATGTGCTGGCCAGGGAACCTGAAGGTTGGGGGTTCGATCCATGTTGGTATGGGGTCGTGAGTGCGTACTACTGGGGAATCCCACACTATAAAGAAACGGCTGTCCAGTGCTCACAAGTTTCCTTTGTTCCTTCAACTGATGTCAGTTTACGATGATTAACAACTTAAGACATTAAAGGATTCGATATGCCTAGATAGTTATCTGTAAGCCGAGAAGAAAAATATTGTATATAAGGAGACATACTATTCTAACTAATTTGTTAAGTATGGACTTTAAACCTTCATGACGTTCAATATTAAACTGTTATAACATCTGAAGTTACCCGGAATTTAGACCCCATTGATGTCATAGTACTAACGTCTAGATAGAACTGATGTCACTTACCGTCTCATGCATATCATTTTAAAGGCATAATAATGGTTAAATTAATGTTATTGTATAACTAAAGTTTCATTTGGCAAAATGTAAAATAGATCACCTGTAATACTATGCAACAAGGTGATTCAGGTAACAAATTAACAAAATAATGAAATGGAAATCTTATTCAGTTTCATCAAAAATTCATATGACCTATCTCTGAGCAAATAAAGTATATTGAGTAAAATGGATTTTCTATTTAAAGGCTGTTTATCTTTGCATAAATTTCATAGTTTAATGTGTATACTATAATCAAACAATAAAAATATGATCAAAAGTACAACAAATGTTGTTTTAAACAATGCTAGAACATTTTTTTTTGAAAACAAACTGATCTATGTTATTAGACATTCGTATAAAGTTGATTTCTAATAAATTGATTGATTCCATAGTCCACAGATACCTGAGTTGTTTTGATAATTTATCGATATTCATATCAGTCTCAAGATGCTATCACTAACTGCTAGATTGATGCAATAAGGATTATCTACATTTTTCTGGAAAGAATCAAACCATTTTCTGTGTTCATTACATAGAAGATATCGATAACTGTGTTATGTATCTATGTGCTTATTTAGGTTGGTAGTTTTGAATAGTTGGAGAATCTTATTGAAACTCATTATGATATCATATGTCTTCTGACTAATCGTTATCTCAGACTTAACATATGCTGTCAAGTTAATTGTTGTTAAATGTGAAATCATACAATGTACGACCGAACAATAGAGCCTAAATTTGTGACAAAGTGT